CTGTGTTCATCCAGCTCTACACCTTGTTACCTTTTTAAACACCCTGTTTATATGTGATGCAAATTTCAAAGAATTTGGTACCTGCAATTCTTGGCCCCCCTGTTCTACAAAATGTTCTGGTGGTTTTTGGCGATAGAAATGGGACCCTTTGTTTTAGTACCTATTGGCTAGAGAACATCATTTTTTTTTGATGGACCTCTCCATTGTGTTATTTAAAGGACCTAATGATGGATATCTATGGGAAATATGGGAAAGAAGAGGACCCAAAACCCTATGGAAAGCCTTCTTTCAACAAATCTGATCTCTTAACTCTAATTTCCTTCTCTTTCTAACCAGCTTTTAATCAGATCTTTTACCCTTGAAATACCCATCTTCTTTTCATCCAGCCTGTATCCTCCTGTGTAATTAAAGCATCCTCTGACTCTACGTACAATATACAATACCATTTTCGACCTCTGATTTGAGGCCATGTCACAAATTCTGATTTGCTGAACAAACTGAGTTGTATCTTGTAGTGTCAGTTGTTCTTGCAGCTAAACATGGTTTGCATAAGAGCTGGCTTGCAATATCGTGTATCCACTGGTACAACAGCAAAATCTGCACATGTAAAATTGGAATCTAAACCAGCTATCTGTCCTTTGCATACATTTTTACTTGTACATATTTCTTCAATCTTCATTGAGTTGTGTTCCCAGTGTGCAAGACTTGCTCCAAGTCATTAAGCAGGTTTACTCAACATTAAGATGAACATGCAAAGGAATGATTATGGTCAAATTGATTCATCAAACTGGAACCTTCTAACTCATTAGTCTGTGCATCAGTGTTGTATTCCAAAGGAACTATATTTGCTCGCCTCCTGTACTTTACTGCTGTTTTATAACCAAGGATTTCTGAAAATTATCAAACAAAGCTGCGCTTATTTTCTGTCTTTAATTCCTTGAGAACTTTAAAATGTACTCCATACAACTTAAGAGCATTATTGACATTTAAACCTCTGTTTCTGCATAGTGGTGTTCTTTGTGTATAGGCTTTTGGGTATTATGGATTATTTATCCATTTACTAGATGTTTGGAGTTTGCTTACAATCTTCTGTTGTGAAAAAAATGTGAAAAGGCCGTTTAATATATCTGCTATATCATGATCATGTTACTTTAACAAGTCAACGTGTACAATTATTACTTCTGTCCAGGAAATCATGCCCCCAGTGCTATTGGTAGGCTACACAAATAAACTTGTGTACGTACTTATCCATGTTAAAATAAGGGGATCTCAACTGGTGGCACCTGTGTATGCTGAGAATGCACAATGTCCCAACCTGTTAATAGCTAAGTCACAGGCCTTGATTTTAAGATGCTTACCTAACTTGGGTATTTTTTGCCATTCATTCGGTTAAGTTATCATAATTCCAGTTGTATTGCTAATGATAAAATAGTTAAATTCAGTCTTTGAACATTGTTGGTGCAGTGTAAATTTAAAATATTTATCTGCTTTCAACCAATCTTGAGAAAGCACCTCATCAAAAAAAATTAGTCTGCAAGTTAAACCTCAAGGGTCAACTTAGCTCAGTTAATGCTATTATCTGCATCAGTAAAAATTAATTAAGTACATTGTCTAGGCTGAAGAAGACATAGTCATGGCTGACATTGCATCAAATCTTAAGGAAGTGCTGTAATGTTGGAAATGAAACTTGAAACTACTTGCTATACAAGTGGATGTTGAAGATTTCATACATCATAAAATGAAAGGCAGTGAGCTCATTTTCTGCAACCAGCACCATCTAATGAACTAGACATTTCGTCACTGGGCCTGTCTATTGACCAAGGATTAACCATATTTGTCAACATATAGGACTTGTCTTACAAATAATTGCAGGTGAAGACCTTTAGGATATTTCTGATTGTTTTTTCTGACATCACTTATCTAATTACATTATTGGAAGCCTAAGATTTAAATTGTTGTGTTCCTCTTTATTTATTTCAACCTACAGTTTTCTGTTTATTATTTTTTGCCATTTTATACTTCTTTTCAACTAGTTTTGTAGTGTGGGTGCTTAGTTTATTTAAAAAATGAATATTTACACTTCTTTGCTGGTTGGGAAGGTATTCAATTAGTCTCCTTCTATGCTAGATCATTACTAGCCATCAGCACTCTTCATGGGTTATGTTAACAAATATGATTGCAATTTTCTCAGTAGCTACGTCTCAGGAATAGAAATGGGCTGTATGCTTAGTTAATTTATTTTATTTGTTATTAGTTGCAGAACATAAAGTTCATGCTCTTTTTTTAGTGTGACATCTCGAATATCCACCTGAACAGGCAGAAATCATTTTGCTTTAATGTTTCATCTTCAACACTGCAGCACTACTTTCATAACTGCACTGTAAAGTCATCCCAGATGATGTCTTCTTCCCAAGATTAATTAATTTACAGCATGAAGCTTGAATCAAAAAATGACAGTGCAGCTGATATCATTAATAATGGCCTTAACCTGACTCAGTGAAAAAGCAATGTCCCATGGACTTAATTGCAAATTCTGAACATAATGTTGTGCTGCCTGAACAGGGGTACAATTGCAGAAAGCCATATTAAAATGTGGGATATTGCTTTCTTGTTTGATTTAATCTCCATTAGGCATGATAGACAGACATATCATTGGTCTGTACTGGCAAAGGTACAAAGATCCCATATTACAAAGCCTACTCACTCAGCATTGCATATCTTTCTGTGTAATTTTCTATACTGTAGACAAAGTGGTACTTGACTGAAGGGATAATGACCAGCCAGGTTCTATTATTGATTTCTGACATTTCATTTTGTGTTTTTATTTCTCAGCGTTGAGAAGAAAGAACGAGCAAGATTAAAAACCGTAAAATTCCATGCCAGGCCTGGAGTTATTGAAATGAAAGGGGTAAGTTTCGAAGTGGGGGAGAAAAAAACTATTTGGAAAAAACTAACATTTGAGAACAATACCAAGATTATTGACCCTTATTTCTGTTCGCCTTACTTGCAGCCTGCAAAATTGAGAGCCAGATAATTCACTCTTCTGTTGACCATATAACCATTTTTCTGATTAGTACAGTAGCGTCAAAAAGTGACTATAACAGTATTTTGTAAGAGGTATTGATTGTGATGAGAATGCCAGAAGAGACCTCATTTAATCTTAGACTCCACGTATTCTTTTTAAATTTTGTATACGTAAAAAGAATCTGAATGTGACACAATGAACATTACTCGATTCCAGGAGCAGAAGTAGGCTTGAGTTTAAATTCTTTTTTATCCTCTCTTCACATATGAATGGTGGAAGAAATATGAAGGCAAGCTTTCACAGACAGACAGTTATTTTTATTTTCACATAAATTACACTTCCCATGATACATGTGCTCAGTAACGTCTTGTAGAAAAAAAAGTAATTACTTCTTGATTAAATTGCCTTGTTTTCATTACGCTAAAGTTGAAAGCTAGAGTTGGATGATCCTGAGTCCAACCCTCTCTGGTTGATGCCTCTTTGTGACTCTGAGCATGGCATTGAGCTGACTAGTCTGGTTAGCAGCCTAGAAGTGCTCTGTTCCAGCAGAATAAAAATACAAAAGTCTTGGTTTTCAGCTTTAGCACAATAATTATGCTTGAGAATATCATCCCTTTGTTGGTTTATCCTGATGTGACTGACAATGCCCCAGATTGGTTTCAATACACATGCATCAGTCTGTAACATTTCCACACTAAAAATAGGGCATTAGAGCACCATATGCCTCAATTACGAAATTGAGCAGGTAGTGCATTTCCTAATGAACCTGAGGCCTGAAACTCTCTAAACTCAGACAAGTAATTAATCCATTTGTATTTACTGAAACTTAAACTACAGCTGGAAAAAAGATGCTGTGCTTATTAGCATTGAACTGCTCTTGCTTGTGATACAGGAAGTCTATCTACTGCATCAGTTTGATGGTGCTTATTTTAATTTATAGTCTTATAGTCACTCTTTCATGCAAATTCATTCTCTCACATTCTTTTCTGACACAATCACTCATTTACCCATGCTTGTTTGGGAATGTTCAAGATGGCGGGTTTCTTCACATATGCTTCTTCTCCTGTTCGGGCAGTCTAGAGCAAGAGATTCCCATGAGTTTTGGAAATACTGCATTTTTTTTCCTGGAGGCTTTGAGGACATCGTCAAAACACTTTCATTGCTCTTTTGGTAGCCACTTGCTTTAACTGAACTTGGAGTAGAGAGCTTGCTTTGGAAATCTTGGGTCAAACATAGATGATATGGTCCATACAAGGAGCACAATGACAATAACTATTGTCTTGCAGTTGGGGATATTGTCCTGAAATAGGCCCCTGATACTGGAGCCCCTACCTTTCTATTGGATTTGCAGAGGCATTGGTGATGAATTTTTCTCTGAATTTGAAATGTCAAAATTTGCATTGTCCATGTTGTTAGGAGAAACAAAGCCAAGCATTGACTATGCTTCATGATGTCAAAAAGACAAAGTTAAGGGCAGTCCATCTGAGTGCACACAGCATTTACACCAAGGTAGGTGATCCTAAGGTACAAGTGCGGATAGATGGGTACGACACAAGGCCCATGGTCACCAGGACTGGGAACTGAATATTCAAGGATATTTGACATTTAGGAAGAACAGACAAGAAGGAAAAGGAGGTGGCGTCATGCTGATAATAAAGGATGGAATCAGTACATTTGTATGAAGAATATGTGGAATTTGTTTACATGGAACTAAGGAACTGCAAGGGGCAGCAGACATCAGTTGAAGTTATTTATAGGCCACCAGATATTAGCAATAGTGTAGAGCTAGTAAGAGAAGTACATAATAGTTATTATGGGTGACTTCAGTCTGCATATAGACTCGGTAAGCTAACTGAGTACTAAACTGTGGAGGAGTGGAATATGTTAGGTAGGGATGCGTTTCTAGAGCAGTATGTTGACAAGCCAACTACAGGAAAAGCTATTTTAGATCTAGTATTGTGTAATGAGAAAAGGGCTAATTGACAATCTTATTGTAAAAAAACCTTTAGGGATGAGTGACCTCAGTCTTTGATATTTAGAAATCTATTGATTTCTACTTTGAACATAATTGATGAGTCTCCACAGCCCTCTTGGGTATAGAATTCCAAAGAATCACCATTCAGTGACCTAAGAAATTCCTCCTCATCACAGTCCTAAACAGGGAAGAAAGGGGAGTGGGTGGATGCACTGTATATGGAGGGGGCGGTTGGTGTTAGGACTCTTTCCTGCATTTACCCTGTGAAACCCTTCAAGAAATTAGTATATTTTAATAAGATCATTTCATTCTTCTGAACTCTACAGAATACAGGTCCAGTTTCTTCATTCTGTAATTCTAAGAATCAGTCTGATCTACTTTTTTTGTACTCCTTCTATGACAAATATATCCCTCCTTAAGTAAGGAACCCAAATCCCTGACTCAAAACTGTATACAATATTTAAGTTGTGTCTCAGCATACTTTTATACAGTTGAAGCAAGGCCTCTTTACTCCTCTTTAATCTATTTGCAATAAAGGCCAACTTACCACTTACTTTCACAATTGCTGCATGTGCATGTTTGCTTTTTGTGACATATGAACACGGACATGCATGATACTACGGACATCAACATTTCCCAATCTCTCCCTATTTAATAATGCTTTGCACCTCTGTTCCTGTTATCAAAGTGGGTAACCTCACTTTATTTGCATCATATTCTGTTGGCCATATTCTTGCCTATTCACTTAGCATTTCTTAATCTTCTTGAAGCACTTTTTCATTCTCAGCGTAACTTGCATTGTGTTATAAGTAAACTAATTACCTAACACTTTAATTGATGTTACAGTACATTTTTCTTTTAACCTGAGAGGGAAGAACTTTTAAGATGTTTTAAAGTTCCCTTTTCATCAATCCTACTAGCTTGACAGGGTGGTGAATAAGACAACCTGCATTGTTATAGTACTTATTAATATAATGAAATCTAGGCATTTCACAAGGGAGAATCAGTATGGAGAAATCAACCTTATTGTTCATGGGCTGACTAATAGTGTGAAATATAACTTTTTCAAAAATATTGGTTTTGAGAATACCTTTAAAAATGTAAATAAGCGTAATAAGATTGGGAGGTTGAGAAAGAGTTTGAGATTCCATAAGAGAAAGGGGCCCATCCAATGGGGAGAATAGGCAGTGGAGAATGTCACACGGAACTCTATGCAGGAGGAGATTGTAAATGTAAGGTAGGCTGTGAAGAGATTTTTAATGTTCCAAATCCTGTGATAATTAGGTTTGTGTAGATGCATGTTCTAGTTGAGATTTAGAGTACCTCATATTAATTAGGCAGTTAAGAACTGGTATCTAGAGGGTTCTTGTACACAGTGGCTTGTCCCTACCTTTGCACCAGTAGGCTAGGGTTCAAGTCACACCTGTGTCACATGTATCTCATAATACACCTAGACTGGTGATTAGGAAACTTAAAAGAAAAAAGTGGTTCCAAGGGCTCTTGCAGCGCAGTGGTCGTTTCCCTACTTCTAGGCCAGAAGGTCCAGGTTCAAACATGACTGGCCCTAAACGTGTTGTAACATGTCTGAACAGGTTAATTTAAGAAAAATGAACGAGATTCCATAGTTTTGGAGGTGGCTAGTAGAAGGGAAAAGTACTAGTTTGATGGAATTCAGAGGGGTGAACTCATGGATTTCCCTGCCACACTTTTCTCCTGTTCTCAACAATTTTTACATTTAAAATAGGGAACTACATATATGTTTTAACTCAGTGTCACAAACAATCCAGTGAAGTTATTTACCAATTAGTTTATTGAAAACAAAATTTGCTTAAGCAATGATATAAAGGATTGTTGACAAAAGATTTAAACTGCAAATATTTACAACTTCCCTTCTTGAAAACAATACACTCAACCTCCAAGCCTGTGGAAAAAAATAAATACTCTGCAGTGTTATCTTAAAAATACATTGGCCGAGTAACAGTTAAAATCAGAAAAAAATGACAGATTGTCCCAAATGCTTGTCTGTAACTGAAATCACTTTGCATTCAAGTTGCTAGCACTGGGGCATATTCCGGGATTAATTATGGCTGATCTGAAGTCTGTGTTGGTAGGTTATAGAATTTTGTCTCAGATTTTTCAGTTGCAAACATAAAGTCCTCCCTTTTTTTTGTGGTGATGAGACTTTGCAATATGTTTTCAACTCTTAAAATTTGATGAGAAGGGTTTTCAGAGAAAAGAGAGAGAGCGGGCGAAGAGATTTCTGACTGTCTGAATCCAGTAGTTCTGTTATAACTGCCAACTAGATCATGAAAGTACTTCTTTGAAAAGCATTGTAGACAAAATGATGCTAGTTCAGCGACTGGTGTCCTTTGCAAATGCAACTTTGTCCTTGCTGTAGCCAGTGTCCTTAGTTTGCAAAGTATTCTTTCCAAAAGGTCCACAATATAGTAATATGTCCAGTCAATGATATTCTAAATTAGTATTTCCGATAACACATCTTCATAACAGTATATTGTGAGTAAATCGATGTAGAAGAAAAACTGGTTCCTACTTATACATTTGCTGAATGAATATTAGAACATAGAACATAGAACATTACAGCGCAGTACAGGCCCTTCGGCCCTCGATGTTGCGCCGACCTGTGAAACCAATCTGAAGCCCATCTAACCTAAACTATTCCATTATCATCCATATGTTTATCCAATGACCATTTAAATGCCCTTAAAGTGGGCGAGTCTACTATTTTTGCAGGCAGGGCATTCCACGCCCTTACTACTCTCTGAGTAAAGAACCTACCTCTGACATCTGTCCTATATCTATCACCCCTCAATTTAAAGCTATGTCCTCTCGTGCTAGCCATCACCATCCGAGGAAAAAGGCTCCCACTGTCCACCCTATCTAATCCTCT